AGCACATCCTTGCCAGCATTTGGTACTGTGAATGTTCCAGATTTTGGACATTCTAATAGGTGCATAGTGCTGTATGTCATTGTTGTTTTAATTTTCCTTTCCCTGATGACATGTGAGGTGGAGCATCTTTTCATATGCTTATGTGCTCTCTGTTTATCTTTTTTGGTGAGCTATCTGCTAAGGTCTTTGGCCCATATTTTGTTTTTGTTGTTGTTTTTTGTTTTCTTACTGTTGAGTTTTAAGAGTTCTTTGCATATTTTGGATAACAGTCCTTTATCAGGTAAGTCTTTTGCAAGTATTTTCTCCCAATCTATGTTTTGTCTTCTCATTCTCTTGACGTTGTCTCTTCAAGAAAAGAAGTTTTACATTTTAATAAAATCTAACTTATCCTCAATTTCTTTCATGGATCGTGTCTTTGGTGTTGTATCAAAAAGGCATTACCACACCCAAAGTCATCCAGGTTTTCTCCTTTATCATCTAGGAGTTTTACATTTTTGCATTTTACATTGAGGTCTATGATCCATTTTGGGTTAATTTTTGTTATGTGTGTAAGGTCTGTGTCTAGATTTTTTTTTTTTTTTGCATGTGAATAGCTACCTAGTTGTTCCAGCACCATTTGTTGAAGAGCCTATCTTTGCTCCATTGTATTGCCTTTGCTCCTTTGTCAAAGATTGCTTGACAACATTGAGTCTTCCAAACTAAGAACATGGAATGTCTTTTTACTCATTTAGTTCTTTTTTATTATATTAATCAGTATTTTATAGATTCGTTGTATAAATCCTGTACATATTTGTTAGATTTATATAAAAGCATTTCAATTTGGGGGATGCAATGTAAATTGTGTTGTGTTGTTCATGTCAAATTCTACTTGTTCATTGTTGGTATGTAGGGAAGCAATCAGTTTTGTATACTAAGCTTGTGTCCTGAAAACTTGCCATAATCACTTAATACTTCCAGAAGATTTTGATCAAGTCTTTCAAATTTTCTAGATAGACAATCATGTCAACTGTGAACAAAGAGTTTTATGTCTTCCTTTCCAATCTGTATATTTCTGTTTCTTTTCTTTTTTTCTTTTTCTTTTTTTTTTTTTTTTTTGCCTTGTTGCATTAGCAAGGACTTCCAAAATGATGTTGAAAATGTTGAGAGGGAATATCTTTGCCTTATACTTGGTCTTAGTGGGAAAGCTTTGAGTTTCTCATTGTTAAGTATTATATTAGCTGCAGGTTTTTGTAGATAGTCTTTAACAACTTGAGAAGGTTCCCTCTATTTCTAGTTTACCAAGACTTTTCATCATGAATGGGTGTTTCTGTATTTATTGGCATGATCATGTGATTTTTTTCTTTTTTAGTCTATTGATTTAATGGATTATGTTAATTGATTTTTGAATATTAACCAGTCTTGCATACCTGAGATAAATCCCACTTGATTGTGGTCTGTAACGTTTTTATATATTTTTAAAAAGATTTTATTTATTTATTTGACAGAGAGAGACACAGAGAGAGGGAACACAAGCAGGGGGAGCAGGAGAAGGAGAAGCAGGCTTCCTGCTGAGCGGAGAGCCTGATGTGGGCCTCGATCCCAGGACCCTGGGATCATGACCTGAGCCAAAGGCAGCTGCTTAACAACTGAGCCACCCAGGTGCCCTAAACATTTTTTATACAATTTGTTTATATTTTGTTGAGGATTTTTGGATCTGTGTTTGTGAGAGATATTGGTCTATGGCTTTCTTGTAACCTTTTTTGTCTCATTCGTTTTTAGAGCAATGCTGATCTCATAGAATGAATTAGGAACTATTCTCTCTGCTTCTATCCTCTGAAAGAGACTGTAAAGAATTGGTATAATTTCTCCTGTAAATTTTTGGTATAATTCACCGATGAACACATCTAGGCCTTTTGAAAAGTTATCAATTATTATTATCATTATTTTAAAGATTTTATTTATTTGACAGAGACAGCAAGAGAAGGAATGCAAGCAGGGGGAGTAGGACAGGGAGAAGCAGGCTTCCCGCTGAGCAGGGAGCCCAATGAGGGGCTTGATCCCAGGACCCTGAGATCATGACCTGAGCCGAAGGCAGACACTGACTGAGCCACCCAGATGCCCCAAAATGTTATTAATTATTGATTTTCTTTTTTATAGAGAGAGAGAGAGTGGGAGGAGGAAAGGGAGAGGAAGAAAGAAAACCGCACACAGGTTTCACACCTAGCTCAGAGTCCAATGCAGGGCTCTATCTCATGATCATGAGATCATGACTTGAAGCAAAATCAGGAGTCGAACACTTCATGGACTGAGCCACCCAGGTGCCCTGATCTTATTTTTTTAATAGATATAGAGATAACATTGTCTATTTCCTCTTGGGTGCTTTTGGCAGATTGTATCTTTTAAGGAATTGGTTTATTTCATCTAGATTATCAAATTTGTGGGCATAAAATTATTTACAGTATTCCTTTATCATCCTCCCAAAGTCCACAGAAATTGTATTTGATGTCTCCTCTTTCATTTCTGAGATTAGTAATTTATGTCCTCTTAGCCTGCCTCTTAGCCTGCCTTATTGATTTTACTGATCTTTTCATAGAACCAGCTTTTGATTTTGTTGATTTTCTCAATTGACTTTTTGTTACCAATTTCATTGATCTGCTCTAATTCTTAATATTTTTCTTCTGGTTACTTTGGATTTAGTTTGCTTATCTTTTGCTGGTTTCCCAGTGTGGAAACTTAGGTTATTGATTTTAGAGTCCCTCTTTTTTTCTAATGTATGCCTTCAATGCTACAAATTCCCCTCTCAACACTGCTTTTACTGCATGCTACAACTTTTGATAAGTTGTATTTTCATTTTTATTTATTTCAAAATATTTAAAAATATTTCTCAAGAATTATTTTTTGACCCATGTAGTATTTAGAAGTGTGTTGTTTAAGCTCTATATTTATGATTTTCCAGTTATCTTTCTGTTACTGATTTCCGGTTTAATCCCATTATGGTCTATGAGAAGAAGTTTTATGATTTCTGATCTTTTGAATTTTTTAAGGTGTGTCTTATGGCCAAGAATATGGTCTATATTTGTGAACTTTCCATGTGAGTTTGAGAAAAATGTTTACTCTTACTATTATCTCCACAGTTTAAAGATGGAAGGGTGAAGGAACGATGGGCAAGAAAAAGCAGTTGATTTGACATAGAATGAAAGACTGTTGGGTTGAGCACGTTTTAGACTCTATTGTACATATATTTCCCCTGGGGTTATTATTAAAGCCCAGCTTTTGGCTCTAGATTTTTGGAGGGCCTTAAACTCTTCAGTTGTAACAAGCTCCCAGATGATATTGATGCTGCTGGTCTGTGGACCACACTTTCAGTAGCAGGAGGTGAGAAGATCTCTTATACAAGATAGCCCAAAACTCTCATTTCACAGGAGAAAACTTAAGGCTCTGAGGTCACGTTTGAATTTCATCTTGCCCACAGGCACAGTGTGAACCTGCTAGCCTGTAGTGGGTTTCTTCTGCTAGTGCATCATTCAGTATCCCAGTCTCTTCACTTTCAGTCTGTCCAAAAAGAAACAGAAGATCCAAGACAGTACACTGAATGGGAACAGCCTCAGAGAATCCAGAGTCTCTGAGGTTTGAGGGAACAGAGGAAATTCTGCAGTAAACTTTGGCTATATCTTCCATCAGACCCACTAGAGTTTTATATGTGAGCTTAGATCTTATTGGAAAAAGATAAAATTACAGTTTTTTAGGAAAATCTGAAAAGTAGAAGGGCTAGGCTTATTTCTTTTCCCTGTGGATCGAAGGCTTGCACATCTTTGTGGTCTGTATAAGGGTTCTTGTAGGACTTGAAGTAATGGAACTTGAGAGCAATGTTTGGGTTCAAGCTGCTTTACAAGAGATCTTAGAAACTCTCTGATTGGAAAGGTCAAAACTTAGGGTACTTGGTGCTTGGTTATAGATACATAAAGGCCTTGAGTTGGTCTTTTATCATTCCTTTGTGACTGACTGATCAGCAGACTGGGAGAGGGACCCCAGCAAGCATTACAGAAAGAGGGTGGGGCTAAGACCATTTAAATCCTGGGGAAAACACAAGTGTCTCACACGAGGTCAGTTACTTAGACCACAGGAATCATGGGTTGACCAGGCTACAGTTACAGACCTCCTTTTATGAGTTACTTCTAGATCAGAGTCAGTGAGGCACGGGAGGCAAAAAGGGCACTGGGAACCCACCATCTATTGTCATTTGTGGCACTTTTTTGCTAGTTATCACCTCCTGGAGATAACCAGAAAGAAGAAAATGTCTATTTTTGGATGAGATACTACAAATGTCTGAGGATTAGAAAGAAGAGCTCATAATGTCCAGAAACATGGAGAGGATGAAAGAAATACAATGGTTTTACAGATTTTACCAAGGACAAATTTATATTCTATCTTAAATATTTACCTATAGAATAGATCCAATAAAAGTTTAACAATTAATTTAATGAAACAACAGTTTTTAACTTCAATGTCCATATGCCAAGAAGATTGCAACTTAAAGCAACAAGCAGTACAAGCTAACCAAATATTTTTGAAATATAAATTTGTATCTGATTCTCCACTGCCAAGACTGACGTATGCTTTATATTCTCGTAACATTTTTTTTTTTTTTTAAAGGACAAGAACACTCGTAGACTGAGCAGCATTTGCTATAAACGGGGAAAGCACTAGGGATTGCCGGAAGGATTAAATGAGAAAATTCATCCAAAACTCTAACCCCAGGCCCTGATATATAATAAATATTAGTAAATAATATCATAATCATGGGACCAGTAAGAGCAAAAGTAAAATAAATCATAGAATTAACAACGGTTCTGCTCAGATTCCGCACAGTACAACTCCATTGAGCTTGGAAAAGTCAGAAGCAGAGATGAAGCCCAATCTGCTCACCAACTGGAAAAGAAGTCCCGGTCAGATGCTGCTGAAACTACATTTCCCAGCAGCCCCTGGGCCCCAGTGTCTCGGTTTCCCTCATTTCCGGGTCTGTCATGTGACTCCCCGGGGACACCATGGCGGAAGCGGAGGAGCAGGTAAATGCTGTAACTGTTAGGCAAGGGAGTGAGAAGCGAGGATGAGCCGGTTGGGGCTTGGAGCGGAGCGTGATGGGTTGCGGAACGGCGGGAGGGCGAGGCAGGTCCGCCCACGGTGGGGCGCGCAGCTGGCAATGTCCATTTCGGGGAGCAGAGGAGTGGGTGGGATGTCAGCTCTTGGAGGGCACGGGGCGGGGGGGAAGCGCGCCGACTGTACCCTCCGGCGCTGGTGAGGCGGCCTTGCTTTGCCGCTGCCCCTCTGGCCTTTCCTCCGTGAAATTTTGGCTTGAAGGCAGCCTGGCTATCCCAGGGACTGACTGCTCTTGGGGAAGCATAAAAGATGGCTTGAGTTTTGAGGCCAGGTGATTGAAATTTAAGTTCCTTTCCAGTCGAAGTTAAGGCAGAGTTGCTTTGCAAAAGAGCTAGCTAGGAGAAAGGAGATGATGAGTTTTGTTTCGTACCTATTGCTTTTAGGTACAAAGCTAAGTCAGCTATGGCGTGCAGCCGTGGTTAAGTGCATTTGTTCTGGATCAAAAATACCTACGTTCCCGTGGTGGTTCTCTTTCTTAATATGTGACATTGGGCTAGTTATTTAACTTTAAATCTAAGATGGAGATAAAAGAGTAACGTTCTATGAGAGTGGTTTAAGAAAAAATAAGTTAGTACAACAGTTAAAGTGCTTAGTAAAAGTTTGGCTGTAAAGCCAAAGAATTGCGTGAGAGTATTTGTTGCTGGCAGAACATCAGGCGGCAAAGCCAGTCCACACTTGGCAATGTGGCGCTGGAGTTTAGAGTAATAGTTAGTGATGGCGATAAGAGTTATTTTCCTGCAGGCAGTAGTGGTAGTAAAAGTTAGTTGAAATGAAAAAGTGATAATCAAGAAGACAGAAAAGTGCAAAGGCCAGAACGTGAGGAAATACCCCCCCCCCCCCCATTTCCAGGGCCATTTCAGGTTGTCAGTGTTTTTCCTTACAAATTAACAGGGTCATCAGTTTCCGTAATTGCTTCTAAAAAGTGATTTATGGTGAGCTGTACCATAACAAAAGAAGTTTAACTAGTTGATAATTTGTACCATTTGTAACATACTTCATTTACATAATGAAAATTTGCCTTGGGTACATTTGATAAATATCAGTAATTAAGAAATAAGGTAGAAATTTGGTTTGGGTGGTCATTGTGTTAACAGGAGTGTTGCTACCAGGCACTGAAGCCTCCCTTTTCTGATCCCATCACTTTAAAGGAAAAATGCTCTTTAAGCACATGTAATTTCATGAGTCATTGCTAGGTTTGATGATAGTGGTGAGATTGGTTTTCACACTCTTGGTCTTTCAGGTTGAAATATAGCTTATTTGTAGTCTGACTTAAAAGTAAAAAGCCAAGATCTTAGATAGAAGGTAGTAGAAATGGAGAAAGTTGCGCTTGGTATTTATTTAGTAGTGTTTTGTATGGAAGTTTGGCAAAGTTGTCTGATGTAAAGAGCACATGTAGAAAGTTAGTGATATAATAAGAGTGCTTTGAATTTTTATAGCACTTTCCAGTGTAAACCCTTTATGTCACATTTGGTCCTTGCAAAAGAATTCTGTATGGTTAATGTTTATTCTGATATATAAGTCGGGACAAGCATTTGCTGTGTTCCAAACATTGTAATGGCTTCCCATTGCCCTCTGAGGAAAAGCCAGACTTGCTTAGGATACTTGAGTTGCCCTATAGAACCTTGTCCCAGATGCTCGTTTTCCCTTTTCTGACTTTATTTTCCACTACTCTTCTCTGCTTCCCTTCTGTCACTTGGTGGCATCAGATATACTTGGCTTTCTTACTGTTCATTCAACAGGCTGGCATGTTTCTACCTCAGGGCCTTTACTTATGCTGCTCCTTTTTTTTTTTACCCCAGATATCTATAGGGCTTTCTCCCTCAGTTCTTTCATGTCTTTGTCCAAGTGTTATCTTTTTCAGTGAGATCATCTTTGATCATTCTTTGAAACCTCTTGCATTATTTTCCTCCTTAACACTCATCACCATCTGACACAGTGTGTTTTAAAATTTCGGTTATTCGTTCTGTATGTTTCTATGTTCATTTCTGTATATTCTCCCCATTAGAATGTAAGCTTCATGATGGCAAGGATTTGTTCACTGCTGTTTGCCTGATACCTAGAATAGTGCCACAATATGTGCTAAATGATTGAATTGTACACATAAGCAAATGGAAGTTCAGACAACTAAAGTAACTTATTCAGGCTTGTATCTATAATAAGCCTCCAGTCTTCTATCGTCAGAGTTCACAATTTTTCACTAAAATACTCCACCCCACCTTTTAAAAAATACTAATTCTCATTTTAACTGGTTAATTCTATTAATTCTATATTATTCATTTAATTCTAATTTTTAACTAGAACCTAATTCTAATTTTTATTTATTTTATTATTATTACTTTATGAAATAAAGTGAGCTCTTATCACCTTAATGAATGTCCTTCGAGTCATAATTTCACCTTTGACACTTTAACAGTCTGCATACAGTTAGAGCAGGCATTCATTCTCCTTTCACTATCATTCTCAAAAAAGACCAATATTTTGTCAATTGCAGAAAGAAGCAAACATTCACAAATTGTCCTGTTTGTTTTTTAAAGCTAGTAAATAATTTTACCTGTATTATCAGTCCTTTATAGATTAACGATGGTTAGACTTTTCTCACCCTGCTTGGTTTGTGCATTTCACAGTAGGAAGCCATTAAAATCTGGCCTTTTGTATATAGTTTTTTAAAGGCTAAAAGGGCACAAAAGGGGAGGTAAATGAATTTGCTAATTGTTCTGTTCTGCCACTTTGAACCTTTTAGAAAATCTTGACATAATTTCCCCCCCGGAACACTTTATGAACTGAGATGTGTATTAAAATTAGCTACAGTGATGGGTTAAGTCAAAAGAAGCTTTTCCTTGGCATCATGCACTCTCACTACAAACAGCCCTTTATGATGCGCAAGACAAAACTCAATCTCTCCTCTTTTCTGAGCATTGTATTCTTTGGTGATTGTGGTTTTTTTCCCCTTTAATTCTAGAAAGAACCAAAATAGTAAGATCTGTACTGAATTAGCATAATGTAATGTAGTTCATAGGCTCTCAAACTAGAAAATCATTTTTTGGGATATGATTGAACATTTTTTGAAGTCATTGGGAAATCTTTGTTGATGCTGGGTATGGTGAAGGTAGTTTGCAGAAATAACTACATATATATTACATAGTTCACAGAAAGGACTAATACCCTTTATTCTGCCTGGAAATCTTCTAACCAGCAGTTTTACTTAGCTCTAAAGTGATTTATAGGTGACCTTCATTATCACAGATGCCCAACAGTATTTGTTCATACCTCTTTTATGGATAACATTCTGCTTGAAGTCTGGTTGTTTGTGTATTTGTCTTATCTCTACTACAGATTGCTGAGTCTTCAAGAATAAGGACAGAGCCTACTCATGTCTGTATCTCTCACAGGGCTAGTGCTTTACAGGTACTAGGTGCTTAATAAAATGTTTAAATGAATTCATTAGGAGGAGAATAGCCTTCTGAATTGAAAATGTCAAATTATAAATTAGATGCAGTGGAATTTGTATTGTTTTATCTTAACTTGAAACTTTTGCAAGTTAGTAATTCAAATGTATTGTAGATTACATTTCCCACATTCCTGCTCTGCCATCCCCCCCAGGTACCCTTTCATCTTTCCAACCAACCATCAGGGAGCCTAGTCTATTAAAATTTTTGATCAGTCAGACCACATATTCCTTGACAAGAGAGGAGAGTTCCTTTTTTGAATTTTCCCTTTACATTTTAGAATTTGGGGAATTGTTATCCTTATCATAGAACATTTACTGTTTATCAGATGGCAGTTCAGGAGCACGTATACTCCCACGTGATTGTGCCCCATGTGTAAAATATAAGGGAAACCAACAAATACTTCCCTCCGTTTTCTTGCCTGCAAACTGGGGCATTTACTTTCCAGAACCCTTGTGAGTATGAAATGAGATAAAGTATGTTAACGTGGCCTGGTCAAAGTGTCTTTCTATGTCAGACGACATAGTTTATTATTCAAACTTGGGCTTTGCTCAAGTATATAGTAGTCTCTTTTTTTTTAATAGTTTGATCGAGATCTTTTAAAAGCAACTTCATTAATCACAGAAGAAATAAAGCCAGACAAGAGTTTGCTAAAACAAAGAATCAGAAATTTTGGGAAGATCCACTCTTTACCATCGTGTAACTAAAGTGTAGTCACAGATTGGCTTAGCTGGACGTGCTTATTGCCTTATGAGTTTTTCCTCTCCTCTGTGTCTGGGCTGGCTGGCTGAAGGCCGGCGTCACCAGCTGATTATTCGTAGTTTCTCTGGTACCCACATCACCACTTCGGAGAGAGAGCCCTCCTCAGGTCTGGGGTTCTGTGTTTCATGCAGCTCCCCGTTCTTGGCTGTTCAGTCGCCCTTGCCTCTGTTTCTTCTGGGCACTTGCTCCCTCCTCATTGTTTTTGTTACCACATGCTTGTGATTCGAGGGTCTTATGTAGACTGACAGCATCAGAAACTGTGAAGATGGAGTGTTTGCCTGGGTGTTAGCCAGTTCCCCAAACTGAGTTTCTGTGATCGTGATGCAGTCAGGTTTGGCGCTGGGTCACTAGGTCGCCTCGCTGGTCCCTTTTTCCACACTGGGCAGACATCCAGGTTTTCCTTCCTTTGCAGACTAGGATGAGTGTGGTAGCTGAGCCTGTGGGGCTCAACGGGGTTGGTACCCTGAGTCTGCCCGCTCTTGCCTGCTCCCCAGGTGCTCTTTCATCTTTCCTACTCAACCAGGCTTTTAGAAATTGAGGCCTCAATGATACAGGAATAACAGATACGTATCACATAAATATATCCTCTTATGTCTGCCTGTGTCTGACATTGGGATCTCTCTCACCCTGTCTTCCACTAAGCTTAGCTGTGTCATGCAGTCTGTAGGGAAGGAGAGAAGGTGGCAGTGCAGCATTGAGTGCTTCAGGTCCGTCCCCAAGCCAGGCTGATTGCCTGGGGCCTGGGCTGTGCTGTCTTTCTTCATCCTGCCGGCATCAGAGCAAACCTTCCTGGGGCTCCAGCCTCCATTTCTTCCCCAGATTCTGCACATACACCCCCCCCCCCACCGCCAGTAGTATACAGGTTCAAGAGGGGCCATGTCAAGGCACTAGGATTGTTGGATACGTGATTGAGTGTAAGGGATTGGTTTGCAGAACAAGTTGTTGAGTTTAGCTTTCAGCTGTTGCCTAGATTTTGTTCTGCTTCACATTTGCATCACTCTGTGCCTTCTAGCTCATCATGTTTGCTTCGAACAGAGCAGCATAATTTTTTTTTATTGTGGTAAAATATACATAATATTTACCACTTTAACCATTTTTAAGTGTATGATTTGGCGACATTAAGTCCATTTGCATCGTTATTCAGCCATTACCCCACCATCCAACTCTAGAACTTTCTGTCATCACAGACTGAAACTCTGTACCCATTGAACACTAATCCCCCTATCACCCCGCCCCCAACCCCTAGTCTATTCTGTTCTACTTTCTGCCTCATATAAGTGGAATCTACAGTATATGTCTGGTTTATTTCACTTAGAGAACAGCACAGTTTTGTAACTTATATTTTCAAGATTTAAGTTCTTTAAAAGAGTGTGAAGTTAAAAAATGTTTGAAAACCACTGACTCTTTCTGAATTGTAACCTTTCTCACCGTTCAGCCTAGCTTCTTGGATCCCTCCCTGGGACATTCACTTGCTAACTTCTGGTTTGCCCCTCAGTCTCTAGAACATTAAACACAGGGGCTTATTGAGTGGATGAAGCTAAGAAACAGGAGGCCAGACTGATTCCTGAAGTCACTCATGCATTGCTTTGGTGGGATTGTGGACAATATGTGATTTCTCTTGAGGCCACAGCTACATTTGGGAGGATTTTGCTAGTGCTGGGGGTCGGTTTGAGAGTGTCTTGGAGTAAATATTCTGATATCAGCAGCCCCAGGAAGCTTCTCTGAGAGCCTGGTTTTCCCTGAAGACTTGGTTTCCTGAGAGCTGCATGCCGCATGGTGTCGGATTCTGGTGCTGCATGCTTTTCAGTACAGAGCAAGAGTGTAATTTGATTTTGAGTTTTGGGTTGCTGGGCGGGGACATACACTTTTGTTTTAATGGAGAACATGAATGGGACATTTGCCCCTTTCCCCCGTGTACCTAGTTGAATGGATTTCAAATAAGAAATTTCCTTAGGTTTAATGAAATTTTTCTGGAAAGAGCAGTCCAGTGTCCTTTTAGAGTCTTGAGTTGGGGAATAGGAATCTAGGTGCAGTCACTGGCATGGTTGTCAAAGCCTCGTTTTGCTGATGTTAGTAACTCAATATTCAGGAACAGTCAGGGGCGGAAAGGGTGTCAGAAGTCATTAAGTTCAGCCTTTAAGCCTCAGTGTTCTTACCTCGAGGGTCATTAGGAAATTCTGAGATGCTAGGTGCAAAGCATTTAGCATTGCGGGGATATATATAATAGATGTTCAGTAAAGATGTCAGAATGGTAACTGTTAATAATAAATGGAGTGTGTCCAAAAGAGAAGGATCAGGATGGTAAGTGGATGAGAACCAGGATCTGGGGATGGTTAGCACAGAGGAAAAACAATTTAGAAGGGCAAGCATGATACGTGTCATTAACTCTGGAGAACTGTCAAGTAGTAGAAGAATTGGATTTTTTATGTGTCTTATTGGTGCTAAGAACAAAAAGTTACTGTGGAGAGATTATAGCTCCAAAGTAATGGGAATTTTCTAGTACTTAGAAGAACATTCAAACTAAATAGGCCACGTTGAGATTTAGAACAGATTCTTAGATTCCTCATGGTTAATGACACAAGTACCTTAATTACAGGTAGCATTCATCCCCATTTTACAGATGGCCTTTGACAGCAGGAACTATATTGTCCACAAGGCATTCCACAGGCAGCTGGCCACCTTCCAGGTTCTTCTTTTACATGAATGAAAATAAAATTTTTTCAAACACCAGATTTGTGTCTCTGCTGCTATACAACTTGTGCCGAGTAATATATGCATCTAACTTGCTTTAAAATGTTTATTTTTTTTTCTTGAAAAATACTAGTCATATCTAAAATGTCCTTGCCCCATTTTTTTGTTCTTTATCTCATGGATCGTTGTAAAATGCTTACATTCAGTGTCAGCATATTAGTTGTAACCTTTTATTGCTATTGATATCTATAAGTACGTTAAGTAAATCTTCATTTTGCTGACCTCTTTGAGGATGCATGGCATCAGCAGATTCTCTCTTTCACTGGACAGGTGAGAGATTAGCAGGATCAAGTCAATTTTTTCCCTTTTTGCTTTGTTTTCTCCAGAGCAGCAAGATTCATTGTCTAGCAAGGGGAAACTGTGTTAAAAGGCAGAATTTGTCTTCCAGTTAATGGTTTAAAGAGTGAATGTAAATTATGGAGCTTGTTTGCACAATGTCTGTTAGGTACTACTCTAGGGGAATTCTTTTGTAAAAAGCTGTTTAAGCGAGACAATCATTTTGACTTCACCAGATTAATAGCACAATAATTAATAGCACAAGGCCTTTTCAGTATAAAAATTGGCTTATAGATAATTTGAGATGGCAGTTTCCTCTTCCTTTCCAAGATCAGTAAGTAAGGCTGCTTTGCCAGACCTATTTCCATTTTTAGCGAAAGAAAGAGCTTTCTGTGTACTCACACGATAGTTCCTGAGGCCATTCGTTAACCTGCTGTCCACTCGAGGGAGGTCATGGGGGTCTGAGTGGCCCCGGAATAACCATCTCAGTCCTGCCAGATGTGGGAAGTTGCGGGAGGCCCACAAGGCGTGGAGTCTTTCCACTGTAGCTGCGGATTACTTCCCAGAAAGGGCAAGTGGATGTGGATGGTGGGGATGGGATGACTCTTTTCCCGTATTTTATTCTTTTGTCATCCTTCTGACTATTTTCCCCCTCTGTGCTTTGTAGGAAACTGAGTCTCTCGAAGAATCGACAGATGAGTCTGAGGTAAGATGGTGGTTCGGGAGCCTGAGGATTTCTGGCTCACCATGGTATCTCGTTCTGCCTTATTAAATGAGACATTGCTGAGGATTGGGGGGTGAGGTAAAATAGGGCCATGGGTGATTGAGCCTTGGGGAAGAACGTGACAGTTGTCTTTAAAAATATTAAATGGATTGACTTAAACAGGAAAAGGAATGCTTTCTCCTGATCTTGAGTAGTAGTTTAACCCAAAGTCTGTTGGCAATGGGAACTTTGATGCAGAGTTTTACAGACTAATTTTGACACTTAAAAAAAAAAAATCTATATTTTAGGGGCCCCTGGATGGCTCAGTTGGTTCAGCATCTGACTTGATTTCGGCTCAGGTCGTCCTCTCAGGGCTGTGAGATGTAACCCCAAGTTGGGCTCCCCACTGGGTGTGGAGCTTGTATGATTCTCTCTCCCTATGCCCCTCTCCCCTCCCCCACTCTTGCGTGGGCTCTCTTTCAAAAATCAGTCAGTCAATCAGTCTGTTTTAAAACAACCACTGTAGGTTTTCTAATATTTATTCTTTCTTCATTCTTTTAATGAATATGCCATGTTCACTGATGTAATTTCTTTTTTTTTTTAAGATTTTATTTATTTATTTGACACAGAGAGATCACAAGCAGGCAGAGAGAGAGGAGGAAGCAGGCTCCCCGCTGAGCAGAGAGCCCGATGCGGGGCTCGATCCCAGGACCCTGAGATCATGACCTGAGCCGAAGGCAGCGGCTTAACCCACTGAGCCACCCAGGCGCCCCTGATGTAATTTCTAAATCATGGAAATTATAGTTTATTTCATAAAATAAGAAGGAAAGTACCTGAAAAACTGTTAAGGAGCTAAGTTGTGCTAAAGGTTATATTTTAAGGAGAATAAATATATAAAAAAATTTATGTATCTATAAATGTATAATATATATTTATAAAGGTATATTTATAAGTATATAATAAATATAAATACATATTTATAAAAATAGATTTTTAAAAAAAATTTTAAATATTTTATTTATTTATTTGACAGACAGAGATCACAAGTAGGCAGAGAGACAGGCAGAGAGAGAGGAGGAAGCAGGCTCCCCGCTGATTAGAGATCCTAATGCGGGGCTCAATCCCAGGACCTTGGGATCATGACCTGAGCCAAAGGCAGAGGCTTTAACCCACTGAGCCATCCAGGCGCCCCCAAAATAAAAATTTTTTAAAAATTTTCAAGACTATGCATAAGATATAAATTTAAGTATAACACTAGTGAGCTACCAATTTTATGGGTGGACTATTAATAATAATTACATTTTTTCCTTTTAATATTTTATTTAGCTCAGAGGAATGAAACAATATCTATGATAACCTGCTGGAAATTCACACCAATGTGACTGTAACCAATAGAGTCTATACACTTAGGTTGATGCTGCATACAGTTATTATATGGATTTTGTTTGTTTGTTCAGGGAAAAGGTGGGTTTAAACGTATTCTTCTAAAGAACATCTTATATGTTATGCTACTGTGCATTTGCAGTTTGGCTGTAGAGCCATGATTCCTAATATCTGTACTGCTGAGGATCTCTCATCCTCTCTTTGGGGCTCCTGATAAGGCACTACAGAATTTGCTTATAGATACGGTATAATACTTGTTGATTTTTTTTTTTTTTTAATAGAGAGAGATCACAAATAGGCAGAGAAAGAGGGGGAGCAGGCTTCCCACTGAGCAGAGAGCCTAATGCAGGCCTCGATCCTAGAATCCTGAGATCCTGACCTGAGCCAAAGGCAGAGGTTCAACCCACTGAACCACCCAGGTGCCCCAATACTTGTTGATTTTTAATAAAATCCTGAAAAGCAATTTAGCTTCCCATTCTCATTTTTGGAGATTTCCGGTTAACCATATTCTCAGAAACACTGGTATAGAATTCTGCAGTGTTGGAGCCCTGTCCAAGAATATCATTTCAGAGGATGTTGGCAGCCACCTAAATAAATCTTTCCACACATCCTTCAGATACTAAACGGATCCACAGGGAGAGCAAACAAAACACACATAACTCATCCCTCCAACGTAATCAGGAAACAGGGTGTGCTGTAAACTTCAGTGTAAGTGGGGGAATACATATCCAAAACCAGCAGAGCCAGCTCCGGATTGAGTCGAGCTGAGTCCAGTGGAGGCGAGTTGGAGATGAAGAGACTGTAGCTGAGTCCCAGCAGGAGTGGTTTCATGCAAAAGTGTCCCCTCCCCCAGGAGGGAAACGGCCCCACCCTGAGTGGGCAGTCCTGAGAACAGGTCTGACAACTGCTGGATCTGAGCACTGGCTGTTCGGGAATTTAAATGAGGGGGCTTGACAGGGTGTGGGACCGGAGGGGACGGTGTTGGGATGAGGCTGGTCCTGGAGAGAGAGGGGAGGCATCCCTTGAAAGCATGGTGGTGACATTATAGGAAGGGGGGGAAATTAAAGGTACGAAGCGGGAAATCAGGATACTTTCCTCCCCTCTCTCCCCCAGAAAAGGTACCACTTACTAAAGAAGATGCGCTTCATTTACCCGTGTAACTGAGAGACCTAGGAAACCATTCAGATAACCTCGTCCTCTTCATAGGAGCACCTCTTGTTGCTGTCCTGGCAATCTGAGACTCGTAAAATTGAAGAGGGATGGTGGGGAGCGTCCATTCAAAAAACTGTAGTACGGAGAGCAAGTGAAAACCAAACATTTTCAGCTGAAACAAGGAGCAGCGTAACACTCCACCTTAACTTGAATGTCTTTAAACAAGCATTTGCAGATAGAGAAAACGATCTTAAAACAGAACTTTTAAAACTCAGAATAGAAATGGACCAAAAACCAGGAAGGAAGGAAATAAGAGCTGACCACTTAGGAAAGACATAGAAGGAGAGGATCATTCTTGTAAGGTTGAGAAACTGAGACCCAAAAGGTAACCGGATCGTCTCATCTCAGACAGCTGGTTCACAGAAGTGAGTTCAAACTCAAGCCCCAGATCTGGGCTCTTTCCATCATTTTTCCTGCTGGCTCTGGTGTCTTCTGCATCGGCCCGGGACAGAGGGACTGTGGAGGCAGGCCTTGGCTTCCTGTCTCAGCCATACTTTGTACCTGCTCTGTGGCCTTGCACACAACCTCTCTGTTCCTCGATTCCTTCACGTGTGCCGTGTGGGTTGCCCTGAGGGTTAGATGAGATTGCTGTTTGCGAAGCATGTTGTGCGGTGCCTAGCACTTGGGAAGCCCTCCCCGAAAGCTAGTGATCCTCAGCTTGTATTTTAGAAGGAGCGCTGGTCTCCTCTTACAGCCTGGGGCTTCAGCTGCAGGGCTTGGGGAGACTCCCCGAGACTCTGGGACCCCGGGTGGTTACTCTCCCATCCGGGTTTTCGTGGGTTCATGGGCCAACAAAGGAGTCAGGCTGGTGATAGGCCAAGTTTGGGCTTTTTAGTATGGTGAGTTGGTTTATAATCCAGTCTTTGGAGCTGTTTGTTCTGGGTGTCTCAATTTGAATCACTTTCCAGATCCTTGCTCGAGATTGTAAGACACTGTTCTGTTGCCAAAAAATCTTTATTTTTCCTTTTCTCCTCTTCCTCTATCGCCCCACTAGGTTTTGTACTGTCAGTTCCACTTTCACAGGGCATTTCCTTCATGTACTTCTCCCTCTTTATTCAAGTGCTCAGTTTCCATTTCTGCAAACAACAATGTTTAGTGTTTTCAACCATGAATTGTAGCAGTTTATCTGTTTTCCTTATGAAAGCCACATTTCTTATAGACTGGGCCTTTATACTGAGAAGACCCTAGCGTTAGGTTTTTCTGAAACTCTTATTTTTAAAGTTTAAATGTAATTTTAATTAAAAAATTTTTAATTGTGGTAAAATATACATATTTTATACATATAAAATATACATAACATATACATAACAAGAATTGCCATCTTGGGGCACTTGAGTGACTCAGTTAGGCCTCTGACTCTTGATTTTGGCTCAGGTCATGATCTCAGGGTCATGAGATCAAGCCCCTCTTTAGGCTCACGCTCAGTGTGGAGTCTGTCTGAAGTTCTCTCTCTCCCTCTGCCAGCGCTTGAGCTCTCTAAATAAATAAATAAATAAATAAATAAAATCTTTAAAAAACTTGCCATCTTAACCACTTTTAAGTATATAATTTAGCATTGTTAAGTACATGCACATTGCTGAGCAGCCTACCTCCAGAACTTGTTTATCTTACAAAACAGAAATTCTGTGCCATCAAATTACAACTCCCTATTCCTCCACCAGCCTCTGGCAATCACCCTTCTACTTTCTCTGTCTGAATTTGACTGCTCTAGAAACCTTATATAAGTGGAATCATGCAGTATTGGTCTTTTGGGAACTGGTTTATTTCATTTAGCAGCATGCCCTTAAGGTTCATCCATTTTGTCACATAAGTCAGAATTGCCTCTTTTTTTAAGGTTGAATAATATTCCATGGTATGTCCATACCACATTTTACGTGTTCACCCACTGATGGACACTTGAGTGGCATTTATCTTTTGGCTTTTATGAGCAGTGTTACAATGAACATGAGTTTAAAAGTATCTCTTTGAGACATTTTGCTTTTAATTCTTCTGAATATGTACCCAAAAGTGGAATTGCTGGATCACATGGTAATTCTATTTTTAATTTTTTGAGGAACCACTATACCATTTTCTCATTTTCCATAGAGACTGCACCACTCTATGTTCCCAGCAGGAAGGCACGGGGGTTCTAATTTCTCCACATCCACGCCAACACTTGTTTTTTCTTCTTCTTCTTTTTTTTATAGTAGCCGTCCTGACAGTTATGAGGTGATATTGTGGTTTTCATTCATTTTCCTAATGATTAAGTGATATCAAACATCTCTGCATAAACTTTTTGGCCATTTATATATTTTCTTTGAAGAAATGTCTGTTCAAGTTCTTTGCCCATTTTCAAATTGTGGTTTTGGTTTTTGTTCTTGAATTGAGGAGTTCTTTATATATTCTGGATGTTATTCTGTATCAGATAA